ATGCCAAGTTAACACAGTAAATTGGGATGACTTTTTCCAAAGTTGGCAGCACCGTTAAAGTTTCCCAAAATTCAATTTGTATATATATATATATATATAAAGACTAATAATAGTATGTTATGCATCGATAGCAGCAACAGCTTTTCCAGGTTCTGCAGTCATCTGAACAAAATTATAGACATTCAGCACATTCCATTAAAAAAAAAAAAAAAACAAAGAAAAGAATAATATCCAGACAACAGCCAAGTTCTGTTGCTGCTGTGGTACCTGGCACCATTTTTTCTATTAGCCTCTTAATCATCATCTGGAAAGAGAACATTCTAGAGTAATATCATTAAATGTAGCTCTGATAAAGCACGGTCCCTACTATGTATCATAAAGCAGGTACTAGATATTTTACATTCATAGAGGTATGATACAGTACTGTCCTACATCAATAATACTAGATTCAGTTTTGGTTTGAAATTTACTTTGTCTGCAAATAAGATTGCTACCCCTGTTTTTTTCTGGGCTCCTGTCACATGGAGAATTGTTTTCTATCTTTTCACTTTCAGTCTATGGGCTTCTTTTTGCACTAGGTGTGTTTCTTGTATACAACATATTATTGGATTTTGCTTCTTATTCCATTTTGCCAGTCTATTTCTCTTGATTGGTGAGTTGAGGCCATTGACATTGCTGGTTATAATTGATATGTACTGACTTATTTATTGACATGTTATTGGCCTTTTGTTGACTCTTTACTTTTTCACCTTCTCCTTTTAATTTCTTGCCTTGCCTATTTGATTTGCTCTGTTGGGCCTCATGGCATTGTTGCCTTCATTGTCTTTTTCTAGGATCTTGTTTAGAATTGCTTGTGTTTTTACTATTCTTATTGGACTGGTTTTTGGTTGGACATGGGAATTCCTCAGAAGGCCGAGGGATTTGTTTCGTTATTTTCCAATCTGGGAACCAGTGTGGAAATGGCACATTTAATCTTTTTTTTTTGGTGGTCCACATGGGTTTATTCCTTTTACTTTTAGGGCTTTCTAACTCACCCCACCCAAACCACCAGACAGGGTCTTGCTATGTAGTTCAGGCTGGCCTTGAACTCACTATTAGCCCAGGTGTGTCTCCCTGCATCAGCCTCTGACTGCTAGGATTACAGGTGTGTGCTGCCACACCCAGCTACCACGTTCTTTCTTTGTTCACTTTCTTATAGACAAATGACCTAGTTTTTTATTACTGTATTTTTTCCCTCTAAGCATAGAAAGCTCTGAGTCCCATTTCTATTATCTCAGGGGTCACCGTTAAATGCTGAACATGTCCACTTGAGTCGGAAAGTCTAAAACAAATTGATATCCCTCCCACTCTTCCCCTCAGGTTCAGGGATCTGGTAATAATTCAAAGCAACTCCAGTACTTTAATTTTTAGAGTTCCTCAAACTAGGGACCATCATTGATTTGTAAATGACACATCCTTGCACAAGTCTTTTCCTCCTGAACTACAGTAACAAGACTGTTAGTGAATAAATAGCTTCTTCGCTCTGTGAAAATGTCTTTACTTGTTCCCACTACTGAAAGATAATTCAAGCTGGTTACTGAAAATTACGCCAACAATTTATTTTTGAAACCTCGCATGCTGAAGACATCAGGAGACTGTGGCCTGGCTTCTGTTGTTACTACTCAGACATTTGTTGAGTTTCACTGTTAAACCCCTTGGTGATCTAGCCTTCCCTTTCATGCTGGTTTTGAGAGGCAATTTTTTCCTTTGGGAGCTCCCATGAGACACACTGGGCCTTTGCATTCTGTCCTCCATGTTGCTGACTGTTCTCTCTCTTTTTTTTGGTACCGGGGATTGAACTTGGGACCTTGAGCTTGTGAGGTAGGTGATGGAACCACTGAGCTAAATCCCCAGCCCACTGACTTCTCTTGATGAACCATCTCTCTCAGTGCAGAATTCTATGTAGATCTCCAGATCTACTTTTCTGTTCTCTAATTCTCTCTTCAGAATTTATGTCATTCACTACGTTTCCACTGGGCTTTTAACTTAATGATTACAGTTCTTATTTTATAGGTTTTATTTAGTTCTTTAAAAAAAAAACAAAAAACCCTTCTTAAATGTCCTGTGCCTTACTCTTTTCTTTGATTTCCGTGCTTTTTTCCCCTTCAAACACATTACTGCTGCATCTACTATGTGATGGTCTTCATCTGGATGCTTAGTTTTTCGTGAATTCTGCACCTGGTAACACCCTACAACGAGCCGTCATCTGCAAGGATTGCAGGATCCACAAGGCCTGCGCCACGGAGGGTGCACTCTAGACAGGTCTCTGTGCTCCTGCTCGGACCCCCAAGAGCCTTGCTAGCCTGCGTCAACTTGGGGGCTCCTGAACTATGGGCTCGATAAACACTGGCTTTGGACCCAATGTCTCCTAGCTCACAGATTTCTGTCAGCCCTATCCAGAGTGCGGCACAAAGAAAGATGAGCTCTTTTGCCATTTCTTGGGGTCAGAGAAATGGGGAAGAGCCCTGAATCTACTTTACCTGGGAATGGATCGTTGGGGGATTTCCATTTTAGTTCCATGCTTTTACATGTTCATTAAAATCCAAATTTCTGGGCTTTAGCTCAATGGGTTCCACCGCCTGCGTCACACCAAGGACCTGAGTTCGATCCCCAGCACCAAAAATAAATAAATAAATAAATAAATAAATAAATAAATAAATAAATAAATAAATAAATCCAAATTTCTAACATTTTTAGGCCTCATTTAGGGGCCGGGAAACGTCCCCAGAGCTGCCCACTCTACTGTGGCTTTTGAGTCCTGCATTGGCGGTGGTTGTTACCTCTTGTTTTCTTATAAGCTCAGCTATATATTTAACATCTTTCTGTTGTACTTTCTACAGCATTTCTAAGTGACTAAACCTGGCATGGCTCTACTTCAGCTCAATATACCATGTTACTTTAACAAAATCCACGCTGTCTTTTGGCTTCTAGTGAGACTGAAAAATCCAATGCCAGCTGACTCCCAATCTTCTGTATTCTCTGGAAGTGTTCTGGAATATTATGGTGTATAATTACAGTGTTTTTCATCCACCATCTTGGAACCCATAACTACACATTCTGGACGCATTTATTTCTTTCACATTTCCAGCCTTCATTTTCCTTTTCTCTCTTTATAGACCCCCTGGATGTTAGGTGCCCCCCCCCAGGGTCTCACTATGCAGTTCAGGCTGGGCTTGAATTCACTATGTAGTGCAGGCTGGCCTCAAACTCAAGGTAATCCTCTGCCTCAGCCTCCTGAGTGCTGGGATTACAGGTGTGCACCATGCTCGGCCTGTTAGGTGTTTTTATTCTACTTCCTGGGAGCCTTTGTCAACTTGCTTTTTAAAAATCTGTAATGTTTTTAATTTCCAAGAATCCTTTCTTGTTCTGATTTTTATACGATACCATTTTTGTATCATAGGTAAAATACTGGCTTTTTAAAATAAAAAGGTAGATAATAGGAAACAGGGAAATATCTTTTGCAAATGAGAATGGGACCATAAGATGGAGGGGAGGAGAGGATAGGGAAGTACAAAGAATTAGACCTGTTAATGTACATGTACCAACTCCCCACAGTGAATATAATCATCATGGACTACAAACATCTACTAATAAATAACATTTTTTAAATTAAAAAAATATTGATTCTTTTCTGTTGATAGTATTCCCTAAGTGTTGCCTTCTGGGCTCCTCTGAGATACTTGTCTTTCTTTGCTTGTTCTGTTTTCTACTTTTCATGCTAGAAGCTTTCTGAATATAAGCAGCGATCACTGCTTGTCCGCACCTATTTAAGTGTGGGAGTGCCAGGTGCAGGGACAAAGCCTGCAGTCTCAGCTCTCCGGGAAGCTCGGACAGGAGGGTGGCTTGAACCTGGGAGTCTAGGACTGACCTGGGCAACACAGAAAGACCCTGTCCCTCACCCCCACCTGCCAAAACAGACAAGAGAACAAGAGATCTTCGTGGTGGTGACATGAATCTATACGCACACGGTAAAAGGGCACCGAACCGCACACCCTTTGACTTGCAGTTTAACTTCTTCCTGTGCAGATGCTCAACCCTGGGGTTGGGCCCCAGCCCACTCCCACCATGCCACCAAAGCCCAGGCCTCCTTGGCTTCCCTTCGGCAGCTTTGCTCAGCTCCCGTTCACCTTCCATTTACCAAAAATGTGAACTCTGGCCCTTTATTGTTTCTTCTCTCATTCTTTGCTTTTGTGGGTTTATACATTTTCAAGTTTTGCTTTCTGTTATTTTGGCAGGGCTTTGGGGGCAAGGGGTATAAGTGGATGTGTTCAACCTACTGTTTACCAGAGTACGCTGGGCGGAGGTTTCCGAGGGGTGTGCTTGGGGTGGGGTCTCCAAGTCCTGGGCCCGAGCGCTCCTCCCACCTCTGCCTTCCTCCCACCTCTGCCTTCCTCCTTCTCTCCCCACAGGACAGAACCACACTATGGTGCCCGTGTGGTGCCGCCTGGTTTTCAATCTTAATTTTGCAAAGTACTTACATACAACAAGACATTTGAAGATGAAAGGGAGGTGATAGTAAGTCAGTAAAAACAGGAAATCCCAAATTCAAAAATTAGCCCTCATTCAGACATCACCTACAGGGTGGAGAGAGCAGCTCAGGTTTGGCAGCCTCTTCCAGTGCGCAATCCTGAGATTTGATGTTGTGCAGGGAAAAGAACACAGATTCATTAGCTACTCCCCCAGACTTCTGAAGGATCCTCTGACCTGCCCCTTAAATGGCACAAGGTTGCAGTCCCACAAATTGCTGTGATTTGACCATGACAGAACTGACCCAGGACAAAGTTGGGCCCTAGGTAGAAGGCACTCGCCGGCAATAAGTGGCCAGCTTGGGTAATCGGCATTTTACATACTTACAAAATTAAACAAGATCCTTAAACGTTAAACTAAAAACAATCACCGTGAAAGTCACTAAACACAAATAGCAGCACATGTGCCACTCAGCAGACGGCCACACTGCTTACCCTGCCTGCGACGGAGGAGGATGGAGGCTCTGTGAAGCAACAGTAGCCAAGATACACTCCGGAAACGCAGGGGCCTAGGCTCACACAAGGACGCTCTCAGCAGCCTCTGCAAACTGTCTCCAGCCTGCCAAAGGGCTACAGTGACTGCCAATCACACATTTCATCCTACCACAGAAGGAGTATCACAATCCAAACTACGACGAGACTCAAACTAGTAAGTGGTTCGATCTCTGCCTCTGAAAAACTTAAACTGTACCTGGCATGGAAAAGATCTGAAAGCTGGAGCACTGTCCAAGAGGACTTATGTAGCAACCCCTTTCTCATCCTGGGGAGGTTGTAGGCCCAGATTTAAAATGGTAAAGACTAAAGCCCTTGCAGTTTTGAAGCATCTCAAATCCTGTACTGTGTCTTTTAAGTAGGACAAGGGCTAAGTACCAGCCTGGCAGAGATCCCAGTGACACCCAGGTGCCTACCACACGTGGTGGCCCACCTGTCAGAAAGACCCAGACAAAGGATCTAGTAAGGACGCCAACAAAAAACTCCACTCAACACTGAGCAAACGGCTCTTTTTAAAAACACACAGTATTTCTCCAAAGCAGACATACAAATGGCCACTAAGCACATGAGAAGATGCCGGTGTCATTAGTCATTAGGGAAATGCAAATCAGATCACAGTGTGACACCACTTCATACCCTCTAGGACGGCTGCGAAGACGAAGACCATCAGTGTGGTGAGGACGTGGAGGAGCTGGAGCCCACGCACTCACTGGTGGAATTCTGCAATGGCACAGCCACTCTAGAAAGCAGTTTGGCAGTTGCTCCAAAGTTTAAAGACAGATATACCACATGACCCAGCAGTTCTTCTCCTGGGCATGATACCCAAGAGAGCTAAAAACATATATCCACACAAAAATGTCTACATAAATACTCACAGCGTATCTATTCAGAATGACCAAAAAGTTAAAACCAGCAAATGCCCCTTAACTGATAAATGAATAAACAAAACGTGGTATGTCCATACATGTGGACTATTACTTGGCCATAAAAGGAGTGTTGTATGTGCTACAACATGGATGAACCTTAGACAGACAGACCACAGCTGCCAGGAGCTGGGAGGGGTGGGAAGAGGGTAATTGTTATTGGGTGGGGATGGAGGTTCTTTGTGGGGTAATGAAAATGTTCTAAAACTGGTGTGGTGCATAAGTACATGAATACACTAAAAATCACTTGAAATATACATTTAATACATGTAAATTTTATGGTATATGAATTATCTCAATACATCTATTTTTTGTTGTTTTATGGCAAACTAGGCTGAGCTCCACTTAGTGACTGACTGCCTGGTTCTGTATCAGTTATGCTTTTATGTATCAGTTAAAAAATAAGGCATGCACTGGGCGTGGTGGCACGCACTGGTAATTCCAGCTACTTAGGAGGATCACAAGCTCAAGGCTAGCCTGCGCAACTTAGTGAGTTCTTATCTCAAAATACAACACAAAGAAATGGCTGGGAATGTAGCTCAGTGGTAGAGTGCTTGCCTGGTAGGAACAAGGCCCTGGGTTTGATCCTCAGTACGACTAACAAATAAAGTCAGCCTTCTCAAGCAAACAAGCTAACTATCAGTATTTCCCTTAAACTTTACTTCAGTCACGTTTACTGTGTGGGCTTCCAACCAAAATGGGAAAAAGGAAACAGCCAAACTATTCCCCAAGCAACAGTTACTAAGTAGGTGCTCTGCTCAGCGCCTCTCAAGGGTGGGCCCATACGATTGGCAACAAATGCACAGCAATCTGTTCTAGGTACAGACGTCTGACATCGAGCAACTGCAGGTCAGCAAGCCGACCCCAGCTGCGGGGGCTGCAGCACCAGCTGCCCTTCCTGGACCACTTAACACCACTAGTCCAGCCCTGTGTGCGGGAATTGTAGCCACTGACACAGTGGACAAGCCTGTTCCTGAGGGGTGTTCCCAGCGTGGCAGGCAGAGTACAACTCAAACGCCCCATCACTTAACCAGCACCGGGCCTCTAGATGCTGCCAACTAGCTGGGGTCATGCACACACCATCACAAACCCCCACCGTCTTGCAGGGAAACTGGCGGTCAGTCTGAGATGTATCATAAACAGGTGCCACTTTTCAGGATGATAACATGAATCCAAGGTCTCCTAACAGTGCAGAGTAATTCCAGGTAGGAAATTTCCCCAAGAAACATAAATATGTTGTCAAAGAGCATAAAGTAAAAAGTATGATGATGTTAGCTCCATTATTTATAACAGTGAAAAATAATTAACTGCTCAGAAGTGGAGACTGGTTAAAGAAACCTGAGTTTGTCCCTCTGATGGGACTTACGCATTCACTGGATGTCTTGTTTTGTTTTGTTTTTGTGGTACCGAGGATCGAACTCGGGCCCTTGCGCTTGCAAGGCAGACTGTGGAACCACTGAGCCAAATCCCTAGCCCATTCTTCTTTTTTTTTTGGTACAAGGGATCAAATTCCGGACCTTGTGCTTGCAAGGCAGGCAGCAGCACCACTGAGCTAAATCCCCGGCCCTTCACTGGATGTCTTTTGGAAGCCAGAAAAAAGCTTTCTGACCCAGAAACACCTCTGCCTGTGAGCTTCTATTAGGAGGCACTGCAGGCAGCACCAAAGTCAGGTTCCTGAAAGAGAGCAGCCCACCTGGCCTTTCTGATAGGTGTCAAGCACAAGGTCTGTGTGTCTGACCAACAGTAACCCTGTCACAGCTGAAAAGAGCAAAGGTATTGTGCCCTGAAACTGCTGCAACAGAAGGGGACTTGATTATGAGAGCCACCGAAGTACAGGGAGAAGGCAGGAAAAATGTGAGAGTATTATGGATGCGCTGACACCAGGCGTGAACCTAAACAAGGTCACAGTGGTAACAGGGTTCCTGTGACTGCCGTGCTTCACTTTTAAAACACAATCTGGGAATTATTCCTTTGGTTCAAGCCTGAGAATGAGGGTGACACCAAGGTGAATGTTATATCTGTTATCTAGATGTCCCTCACAAAGCCTCATGCAGTCATACATGGGGCTTTTGGGAAGGGGCCGGCTCTCCCAAAACGGGGTGTGCTGGGGGGGTCAAAGATGTGAGGCTGGGACTGAATCATGCGACATAGAACTAAGGGTGTGAGCGCTGCCCACCCTAGCCATATAAGGGACAAAAAGTGCTGCTGCGGTTTGCTTGTTGTTTATTGCTGCTGCTGCTGTCTTCTGCTCTGCGATGCCCTCTGCCACACCATCCTGCCTTGAAGCCAGCCGACCAGGGACTGAAAACTCTACAGACTGTGACCCAAATAAACCTTTCCCCTTTCAACTTTGGGCACCCAATATTTGGTCTCAGCAATGAGAAAAGTAAGCAACACAGTGAAGGAAGACATCAACAACTACAGAGAGGTTTCTGGGGCACCCGGAAACACCAATGAGGAGGAGCCCCTGCACTGCAACCAATTTGCCAGGTTTCAGTGCAGGTGACTTCTGTTTTGAGGAAGGAGGCTTTCAGAAAACAACAATCAACAGAAAGAAGGTGCCTGATCTAAAAGCACCCAGAATTCAGGGACTATGTATGGTCACGGCCAGCCTGAACCCCTCTTGGGCCATGCAAACACTCCTAGAATGGGACCAATTTGTAATGTATTAAGTAGGGGAGAATGGGAAAGCTAGAATTAGCACAGTATGTGTTGTTCTCGTCAGAAATATAGATTTGAAAAGACTTGAACCATCCACTGAAATATGTAATTAAATGCAGTTACCCAAGTGGTAGAATTACAGGTGGCTTTTTATTTTTTCAAACTAAGAACCAAACCCAGGGCCTCCCCCATGCTCTTATCATTGAACCACACCATCAACCCCTTTTATTTTTTTAAATTGTGAAACAGGGTGTAGAACCAGGGATGTAGCGCAGCAGTATAGGACCTGCCTGGCAAGTGCGAGGCCCTAAGCTTGATTCTGGGGAAAGAAAGAAAGGAAAAAAGGAAGGAAGGAAGGAAGGAAGGAAGGAAGGAAGGAAGGAAGGAAGGACGTCTCCTGAAGTTGCCCAGGCTGGCCTTGAACTTGTGATCTAACTGCCTAAGCCTCCCAAGTAGCTGAGATTATAGGAGTATATAGCCATGCCCAGCAAGAGGTCACTTTTTTTAAACCCAATTTTCATATATTTTGCATCCCTAATCCAAAAATGTGAAATGCTCTGAAATACCAATATGATATGCCAAAAGTTCTAGAACCTGTAACACTTCAGACTTTGTATTTTTTTACATTAGCAATGTTCAATGGGTGAAATCTAACCCAATACTCCAAAATCCAAAACACTCCAAAATCTTTACTTTTGGTTCCAAGTATTTCAGATAATGGATAATCAACTTGTATTCCTATATAAGTAACTAGGCAATCAGGAAAAAAAGCCACAAATTTGAGAGATATAAGAGGAGCCCAGCAATTCTGTCAGTGTTGGATCATCAGAGGCAATGACCACAAAACCTAGGCCTTTTTCTAAGACAGAGTCTCACTATGTAGTTGAGACTGACCTGGAACTCCCTATGTAGTCCAGGCTAGTCTTGAACTCACAGCCATCCTCCTGCTTCAGCCTCCCAAGTGCTGGGATTACAGGCATGCACTACCACCCCTGGCTCATCCTGGGCAATTTAGAGACTTAGTAAAACCTTGTTTCAAAATTTGAATAAATAAATAAATAAATAAGGCTGGGGATGTAGCTCAGTGTGAAAGCCCTGAGTTCAGTCCCAAGTAAGAAATAGAGAAGTCCGGATGTGGTGGTGCACACCTGTAATCCCAGCACTCAGGAGGCTGAGGCAGGAGGATCACTGTGAGTTCGAGACTAGCCTGGACTACATAGTGAGACCCTGTCTCAATAAAACAAACATAAATAAATAAATAAATAAATAAATAAATAAATAAATTGCCCAGGCTGGGCTTGAAGTTGTAATCCTCCTGCCTCAGCCTCCCAGAGTGCTGGGACTACAGCCCTGCACCACCATGCCCAACTACTCTAATTCAAAGCTTTCCTGCTGTCTTAGATTCACAGAGTCCCACAATGTTATTGGAGGTAGGTCCCAGGTCGAATCATGAGTTACCAAAATCATCCCTGAAGGTCTATCATCTAATATCCCTTACATTTGTCAGTTAAATCCAACACAGCCTGCTTCTCCTGTGGGACAGATCACCATTTCTCCGCTGCATACTGGCTGACGTTGCTGGTTCACACTTAGGGCCATTTTGTTTGAAAAAATCCATCTTTTCAACACTCTATGCCATGCATGCATGTGGTGTCATATAAATTAAATGCTCAGATAGCTTGCCTGCATCACAAAAGCTCCCTACCTGGTCTGCAGGTTCTCCAGCTCCCCCACCTAACCCACTGGGAGCTCATCCTGTTGAACTCATCCACGCAAACTTTGGAGGGGCTCCTTGGCACATATGAATCCAGTTCCTAATCCTGAGTCTGCCATCAAGACCTGCGTGTGTGCCACACAGCAGCATGGTGCGAAGTCTTCTGAGGGGCGGCTGACTGGGTGGCGGTAGGGGTGCCCCAGGGTTTAACCCGAGTGGAGGCTCTTAGTGACCTTGGGCAGAGCCTCAGACCTCTCCTCACCGGTAAAATAACACTGCCTGCTTCACAGGCTCTGTCAGTGAGGCCTAAAAATGTAAGCACAAACAAAAGTGCTTCCGGCAGTGCCCAGAACCCAGCAGGTACAACTC